ACATATATGTTGGCAACCAGGTGTTCAAAAACATTGTCAGTGATCATCTGTCTTTGCTTATGGATGCCCTGCTGTGCTAGATAACAGCATAAGAAGCCCCTGCTGCCCCTCAGAGCAGGAGAACGAGACAGACATAAAGTGATTGACAAAAATGTTTTACACTTAACCTCCTTTGCTTTTAATGATCTAGTCTACAATTCAGAAAGACTGACAGCAAAGTAACGACCTAGCAGATAGCACCAGCTCTTCTCTTTTGCCTTTCCTGTACCACCCCTTTTCCACATAATTTTGTCATCGCTACACTTTCACTATTAATAAAATAAAATAAAAATAGCACATTAACATACACATAGTCAATACAGATAATATAGAATGTATTTTTTAATATAAATTAGAGCACAGGTTTGTGACATGGTTTAGATATCAGTTTGAACTCTAGAGAAGACATGACATTACTAAGGTCTTTTTTCTCAGGAGAAAAATAAGTACGTTTTACAATCACAATCTTAAAGCGAGCTCATTTACAGTTTTTTTTCCTGTGGGAATTCCTGCAGTATTACAAATTAATTTTACAATACAAATTACATTCCATTCCCTCCCTGTTCTAGCTTGTACTATTCTGGACGATGTTTGAAACTTTGTCTTGCTAGAACTTCTCATGTTATTGCCTCATTAAGATACCTTACCCTAACCCTAACACTTGGATAAAAGTGTCTGCTAAATGAATAAATGTAAATGTAATTTTTTTCAAATGAATATGCATCACAAAAAATGCATGCAACAATAAATGTTGTTCAAAATAGTACAGCATGCCACACTGCAGGACACTGCCTGACGTCATGTCAACTACCCAAATAATAGAGCAAAAAGTCCAAAATTGACACTTTTGTCTTTGCAAACTGTGCATATACAAAGGCAAACCATCACAATCTTATTTACCACCAAAAGTCTTTTGATTTCAATGCAACATCATTTTAATCTTCTGAGTTTAAATGCACTTTTCTCAGTTACCTTCTACCTGCTCTTTTACTGCTGGTGCATAAACATTTAGCTAGCAGCTTTCCACTGACGGTAACCCCCTGCAGGGCACACAGGATGTGTTTGTGTTCACCAAGCATCATCGTGACTTGTCACCGTGTCTGTGAGTAACTGTCCATATGAGCGCATATACTCAGGAGATGTGGGAAAGTTTAGGCTGTGTGTGCGTGTGAGTGTGTTTAGCTCAGAGCGATATGTGCTGTGGGTCCTACACATTGTTTGTGCTTCACGCTCTCTGAAAGAGACAGCCGTCCTTAATACTTCATCCACCCACACCGGCTCACACACACACACACAAATAGGCACAGACGCACCACGCGTCTCTGCATTTGCAGATCTGCGGATGACAAATGACTTGTAAACTTGCATTAGCGTCAGCAGAACAGAAAAACACGCCACATGTTTCCCCCATGCAGTTCTTTTCATTCCAGAATCACCGCATGACAAATAGTCAGGATTTAGGAAAGAATGTAGCGTGCCAAGATCTCATTTAGCCGTGTGCATGAAAGCATGCAGATTACGAGTAGGGATGGGTCCAACAACTGGCTAGTTGATTAGAGAGGACTACTAGTCTCAGACGTTCTCTTATTTATTCTTTTTCCATTTCTACTGTAGTAGAGGTATTTAATTTAGCATTTGATGTACACGGTACAACCCACATACATGCAGATGGATGTCATTGGCCATTGCATCAAGATTCATGCTGTTTTTTAACATCTTGCGCCATGAGCGCTGTGATAGTGTGTCATGTTTCAAGTTATTTATATTTTAAAAATGCATTTCAAAACCAACAAGTGGCTTTGTAAACTTGATGAGAAGACACGATCAAATGAAAAACACCTTTTTTAAAAAAAACTGCTTTGTAGTTTTTTTTATGCAAGTGTACGCAAGAGAGTCTTAGCAGTTTTTTGTTGATTGTTAAGCTTTTAAAACCCACTTTTAAAAGCTAAATAAAAAAATAAGTAAATAAATTAAATTAATTAATTAATTATAAATAAAATGACTACAACTAAAATGATGATGATAATAATAATAATATTATTTCCCTACCTCTATAATAAACTTTTCAAATTTTTTCCAATAAAATAAATAAATAAATAAATAAAATTACTATAACAATAACTGCTATTTAAAAATTATATTTATAACAATTATTAATTACTGTTACTTTATAATTATATTCAAATATATCTTTGTGACGACTTATTTTTTTTACATTTATTGTGATTTTATTTTTTTAAATTTTATATGAACAAATTACAATTACTAGAGGAAAATCCTAAAACACCTTTACTTTCAGTTATGAAAGAAAACATTATTTAGCCCCTTTATGAGCTGATTTTTTTTTCTTCATGGAGCAATATCTCAATGTGGTTTCATTGCATTTTACTATTCTTTTTTTGCTCCTACAATTTCAGAAAATACACCAACACACACTGTTGTGCAGGCCAAATTAATAATAATAAAAAAAATTTGATAACCACAATTTCCACTTTGCTAAATAAATCAGAGCAGGTACAAATGTTCATGATGCTTCTACTCAAGACCTCTGCATTGTGTTTCATTCAGTTGTGCTGAAGTTGTTCTTGAACACAAGAATGTGTCAAAAATGCCTAAACTGTGTTTGAACTGCTCTCAGTGACTCTATGAACACACTCAGAAAGAGTATGCAAAAATGTACTTGCACTGTTAGAAAAAAGTGCAAATACTGTACATTTAGGATACAAAAGATTATAACTGAGGCAGTACCTTCAAAAGGTAAACATTTGTATATTATATCCCGCTAAAGGATGTATCTTAATACCAATATGCACCCTTTAGTGGTAGATAAGGCACAAAAGGTGTACTGTCCCAGTGACTAGCTTTTGTACTCCTGAAGGTTAAAATTTTACACATTTTTTCTGACAATGGAGGTAAAGTGAAAGGCAAAAAAGAACTTGAGCCAGAAGATAAGAGAGATAAAGAGAAGTGAATTGATGTTGCCGTGGTCTCCACTAATCTTCTGAGTAGTTGGATGGACAACGTAAACTCAGCTCCAAAACCTACTGCCTTCTAACTTCTGACTACATAGGCAGCTGCCTTGAAGTGCCTTCTAAGGTGACGTCTTAAATGAAATGGAACCTCACAAGTGATTGATTTGGAATATTTATTAAATATTTTGGAATACTTTGGATTTCTTCCCCCAATTCATTCTGGGATTGTTTTCTCTGTGAAGGATATATGCGATGATGAGAATCTGACCAAAACAAGGTATCAAATAAGTTGCCTACCATTTGGAACAACGTTGACACTTAATGTATCTTAAAATACTGCCTCAATAGACAGCTTTGGGCAGAGCAGTTAGATGAAGCAGCCGAAAATATAGAGAAGAAATGATAAGGAGATTGACAAACTCTACTGAGCGATGCAGCCCTGCAAAGATCACAAGCAGCCATCGCCTGCAGCAACACAGGACTCGGCCCATAAATCCAGTGACTTAAAACCTCCATGGAGATGAGAGTTTTGCCACTCTGCCCCAGTGTGGCCGAACGTCTTCAGTGACAGGAGGACAGAAATGAATGTAGCACTTGATGGACTGACACAGAGGGAGGTGATGATAAAAGCTCACAGACGCACTTTCTGTCCATCTTCCCCTATGGTGGAATGCTATTACCAGATCTCAGTGGTTTTATTAGGTCCGCATGGTGTTAACACACATACACACAAGCATGCTGGCATGAGATGAGGATTTCTGTCAGGACATATCGGAGTGGATTAATACTAGATGGTTTTAATCTAGCTCACGAATTCATGACTGTTGTAAACACCATCAGCTTGACAAGCCACACACTCACACACACAAATAAATGCTTATTTATCAACTTTGATGTTGTAAGGGCTTACTGTGATATTTGCAGAAGCCGCCTGTCAGTGAACACACCTTAGATGGGCCACACACACACACACACACACACTTTACACCACTCACACATAGCTATAAAAATGAAAATATCATGCACTTCTATTGTTGGTTGTTCACTACCAAACCAAGCCCTAACCCCTAAAAGATTTTTTTTGCAATAAATAAAAATAAATACTATTTATTTAATAATAATTGTTTAGAAAATGTATTATAAAATAGCTATAAATATGATAATAATAATAATAATTTGAAACATTGCCCTACCTAAAAAAACAAACAAAAAACAAATACATACATAAAATAAATAAATACTATTAATTTATTTATTCAAAAAAATGCCCAAAGTATAAATAAATATATAATATTAATAAATATTACATATTTATAAATAATAATAATAATAATAGTAGCAGTAGTATTAAACAGTAATTATTGAAACTTATAAACTATAATAAAAATAATAAATTCTTAATTTTATTCTAATAATAATTATTATTCTTTATAATTATTATTGAAATATCTATTTCTGATTAATTATCTTTCACATTTATTGCTTTTAATATAAACATATTAAAAATATAATTACTAGAGACACCTTTTAGTTATAAAAGAAAACATAATTTAGCCTCTTTATGATTTTGTTTTTCGTTTTAGCGACACCTCCATGTGGTTTCATTGTGTTTTACTATTCTCGTAAGGACATTTTTGCTCCTACAAGTTTGGAAAATACACCCACACACGCTGTTGTGCAGGCCAAATTCATTTAAAAAACAATTACCTGGCATGCAGTTACAATACATCTGTGTTTATACATAGAACTCAGGGCCTAAAAGTCACACAAACACACTTACTTTTTCACACACACTGGCACAGAGGTAAATTGCATGACATGGAGGGTTGGCAAAAGAAGTGTTAACAAGAGAGATAGACAGAATGAGGGAAGAAGGAGCAAAAAATGAGGAAGACTTGAGGGGGAAGGGACAACACAACAACATATGGTGACAAACACAGTGACAGGAAGACTTGAGAAAGCGCGTTAGAGAGAGAGAGAGACACTCACCACGGTGAGCCGTAGATGCGGAAGCCCCTGACGGTAACGTCAGAGTCCTGCAGGTAGATGCAGTTGGTGAGCAGGGACTGAACGTTCTCATAGTTCTCCGGCTTGAGTTTGGAGGCCGAAGGAAAGTAGTAGAAATCCTGCTTTATCAGGTCCGCCATAAACTCCTGATCGAAAGTCAGCTCGTGATTCCCGGCTATAACGATTTTTATCTCGTAAGGCAGAGTGCCTGAGGAAAGAGAAAACAGCCATCATGATGAAGTGCATTCATTAAATGAGTATCATTTATTTTTTTATTCATCATTAATTCATGCAATGTTGCCATGTTAAGTAAATGCAGGTCTCCCACACTTTTTACTAGCAAATTTCTGTAACTTTCCAAGTCATTTGTGGTTACAAGATAAGGACTTTTATGAATCATTTTATAGCCAATGCACTCAAAAAAGCTATTTCTATCTGATCTGACCTAAGAATAACTAGAAAAATCAATATTCGCTATAGCAATCACCATGACTATATGGACTTTATTACTCCTTGTATGGTTCAAACAAGCAAAAGTGTTAAACAGAGCTTAGAGACTCTACTATTTTATTGGTAGCTGAAATCATAATTGAATTAACCAAAATATTTAATAAATGAACACATAAGGGGAAGGGGGATGTGTAGCGCTGTGAATGGCAGGCGGACGAATACTGTGGAAATCTGCGCTGCTTTCTGCAGGCACAGATGCCGAGTGGGCCTGCCAATAAGGTGGGCTACACCACTCTCCTTGAGGTATTAAATTGGTTGATATTGGCATTTTTGTGTTTTTCAACTTGCAATAAATCAGAAAATGATGCAGGACTCTTAAAAGTACTTGTTTTCGGCTTTTCTCTGGAACAATGGAAATTAATGTGGCACTTCATAATTCTGACATCAATAAATGCACAAATATTATTACTCCCCATTCCATTTCTGTCTCCATTTTTCACGGTTCTATAAAATTTTCACCGCACCGGGGAGCGAACCTGTCCACGCCTGACAAACACAAAGACAGTATGTCCCCACAAATCTCCTCTCTCCAAATCACTCTCCCCGCAGCCCTGCAGATCCGAGGCGAAATTACGCCAAACATCTGGAAATGTTCCCTTTATTTGAAAAGTGTCATAAAAGAGATGAGACACGTCAGAAAGTGTAAGGTTTGAGGTGTGACGGAGAGTTCAGTCAGCCTGTGTTTTGACAAATACGCAGCCAAGCGCGTCCCTGAAAAGCGGCAATTAAATTGTGGGCGGGAAGGATGTGGGGGGGTGCTGGTTTTGAGGACCTACAAAAAAAAAAAATACAAATGACAGAGCGCACACACACACAGTCCCTCACACATGCTTATGTTCAAAACGTGTGACTTAACAGCAATTTGCCTGACACTTAACACATGCACAATACTCCATGGCACCTCTAAAAATCTGCGGCCATAAGCACAATTTTACCATCGCTGAGAGCTGATCGTAAAAGTAAGACATGGGCAAAATTTGAGAGTTTTATGTGTGTGTGGCAGATGCTTCACAAGGATCAGCACAGGAGTTTTGGAGATTTAAAGCCTCCTTCCAGAGGCAAAGCTCTGATATCTTTTATGGTTGCTCAACACTTTTGTAATACACGTAATAAAGAACTACCTTCCAGCTCAATCGTTTGCTTTACCATGATATGATTTGATTTCCAAGCAGATTTAAGAGAGTTCATATCTTCTAATGCATGTCAAATCCATAATTCAACATCAATTTCTCAGACAGCTGTCAATACACCCTCTATATTGCACAGCTCTATGGAATACTCCATTCTGATTTTGTTGTACCAGACAACAGATTTCCTACATGCTGTCTAAGTTTCACATTTCTTGTAATCACTATGCAATTGGTTTCTGCTCGTATAACAGATATTCATTATGTAAATATCTATGTAAAAAGTGGAACAATCTAGTTAGCTGTTCATTATCACAAAATAAATCCCTTCAGAGTCACACCAGATCCCTCTGCTTCACTTCAGGGTCCCGATCACCCTGTCAGGGTTTATTTAACTGTAGAAAAAACCAATGTAACTTTGCTATACATTGTCATTTACCTCAATGGTTCTCAGCTGGTTTTGGTTTAAAACCCAGTCTTTGTATTCAAAATGATTTAGCATGCAAAACTAAAATGTTTTTAAAAATTAAATAAAATAAAAAATACAGTAGTGGCAAAATACCATAGTGCTCAATTAGATGCACAGCCTGTCAACAAATAGATACAGGGATAGGATTTTGAAAGTCGATAAGCCTGTTTATTTAACTATCCTAATTATGCACCATTATATGTTTAGTTGCTTTGTAATGTTTTAATTTAGCATTTTTTCCCTGCCATCCACAACCCTGTTTTTTGAGATCACGACTCACCAGCTCTCCTTCTGCTATCTATATTCTCACCACATAAAGTCATTTGTTAACGTGCGTCCTCGCATCCAAAAAAAGATAAGTATTCCATATTGTGTTTATGTTGTGCAACATCGGTTTTTCACATACATGTGTAGGCACTGCAAAAGTGTGAAAATCTCCCGGTGCATATGTTCATCGGCGTGTACTCATTGCCTTTCTTTTCTCTCCTTCTTGCGTTCCCTTTCTCTCTCATATAGATTGCACAAACGGCCAGACTCCTTCAAAGGCAGAATTACAGAGAGAATCACCATTTTACAATGGAGTCATTCTCTTAGAAACACAAAGCAAAAAAAAAAGTCTTTGGAAGCAATAAAAAAAAAAAAAAAAAGTCTTTGGAAGCAATCAATCACACAAATACAAAACGCCAGCAAGAGGGAGGACGGAAAAGACGAGCCCAAAGCTTTTGTGATAAGAAGGAGCGGGAAACGGGAAAGAAAAAAGCACGCCGATTTCAGCTCAAAACGCCTAATCCGGACACACGGAAGAGTGTGTGCTGCTTGTTGCTATTAGTTTCTATCTTCTTGGGCCCTTTCTCTTTGATTTCAAAAGCACTTTCAAGGCAGCAATAGCTTAAATTTCACTGTGAATCTGACAGACAGCTTCTGTTCTTTTCACTTCAAAAAGAGCGCAATTAAAGCGGATGAATGCAGGCCCGTGCGTGTTCACACAGACACATACATGCAGCGAGAATAGAATGTTCAACAACTCAGACACACACACACACACAAGCACTTGTCATACAAAACGTCTCACTCTTAAACATGTCTTGTGAGCTGCAACATTGACATATTTGTGGGCATGTGTGGTGTGGACCATTAGAATCAGGGTTTTAGAGGTGCATAAGCTCAGAGGAAGTGTCCAGGTTTGAGTGCTATTGTCATTTCTGTTCTGGTGGGTGGTCTTTGGACTTTGATGGAGCAAATCCTCCAACCTCCAAAATTCAGAGCTCATTCAAGAGGATTACGGCGCTGTCTCGCGCTGTGTGTGTGTGATGCTGCAGACGTTTCTGTGAGACGTTTGCCACCTACGTGATGTGCACTTTCTTGTAAGTTGGCTGACTGAGAAAATATCAGCCAACGACATAACTGTAGATTTAACACGTATGCCACAAATTAAATGTATTCATGGCATATTGTGAAATATAAATGGACAATCACAGACATTGAGAGTACATGATATTAAAAGATTTTGTCATGTTTAGGCAAAAGACAAAAAAAAAAACATTTCAGTTTCAGTTTAAAACTGTCATGCTGCATTTACAGTGTATTTACTGTAGATAAATAATTGATGTCACTACAATACATCAAAAAGAAAATATGAAAATACCTGCCTCTCTTTTCTCTGTTTCACAGCGTTCAGCATTTAATATTCATATTTTTTTCTTAATTTTTTAACTGAAACTTCCGATACATACATCAAGTGTTGTTGATGGTGCTGACTGTTAAAATGTTTTGTTTATTTTGTTCATCATAATACAGTGTTTGTTTTTGTTTTTTTTAAAGAACAAATTAAGAACTTCCCCTTTGTATTTAGAAAATTTGGGGTACAAATGGCCTATTCGAGCCTATTAAAGAAGCCATATTATGCATATTTTTTTAATAGAACTCTGTTTTTCCAGAGGCCCATTTAAAACTTTTTTGCCCCCAAATGAATTTTTTCATGACCATTTCAACCCACTTTCGGACCCTTTTTAACCATTAACAGGCTGTTTTTTTCTCATGCTTTTAAGACGTCTATATAAACGCCCTTTACAACACACATGTAAAATGGCCAGCAATGCTTTGCTGTGTGAGCTGTGGGTTGTTGGTCTAGTCTAAAATAGTTTGCAGCATCCCATACTTCAATAACAGCTACTTTGCAAAGTATGGATTACATTGTAACAGATTCATAAAACAATCCGAGATTATCCAAGTGCAACTCGAAGAGTAAAGTTCAAATGTGGGCGGCCATGTGTTTATCTATCTGAAGTTAAGGAAGAACAAATCACAGAACAAATGTTTTTTTTTTGGACTGAATTCTGAAAAACAGAGATCATGTTTTCATAGAGCATCAAATGCTTTTATTTTAAAAGATCAAGGAACATTTGCATGATATGACCCCTTTAAAGCATATTTGTGACATTTGATTTATTTGATACATACTTCTCACTTGTTTCAACCCTTCGGTTCACACTCTTCCCTCTTTTCAGTCCATAATCCCGGCTCAACAGAAAACAGTGACGCTTTGAAGAAGTGGAGTGAAGAATCGTTCTGCCAACGTGCACAAACACACAAACAGTGTAGGTGTTCTTTGTGTTTCCTCATGTGCCCATGTGAAATGTAAACATACAGTATTATGAGAGGAACACACACACAGCATCCACCCATGGATAAGAATTCAGTCTCAAACACAAACTCACACACAGGTGGCAGGGCACAAGGTGAGAACATAAACTGAATCTCTACATAAAACTGCATGTCTAGATTTAACTGTACAAAACAACAGAGATAGAGAATTGAAATGACAATTTTCTCATTATATACTATTTTTTTCTGTCCAGGATGTTTTTACTTTCTGAAAAATGCATTTCTCTTTTCTTGTTTTTACATTAGAACATTTTAGTCTACTCCTAATCATACTACAAAATATCAGAAGCATGAGTTGTATGAGCTGCATTTGCAGTGCTTTTATTTCTATTTTAAATCCTGACAGGTCAAGGTCACTATGAATAGTCATATAATGGAAAAGAGAAATTTCTCCTTTTGTTATCCATTGAAAAAATAAAAGCATACAGTTAAATAATGACAGAAACCTAATTTTTGGGCTAGCTATTCTATTACTTTACTTAAAGTTACTTAAATTAATATTTCATGTAAAATCTGCACCAAACTTCTTTAATTTGCAAGAAAATCATTTATGAAAAAGTTTTAAGATGCTACAGTACTAAACAAATAATATGCCATACACACAAAGATTCATAGACACAAATTATTCAACCACAAAACTACACAAAGATTTCATCTTTGTCTGAGATTGTTTTATATTTTAAGTGAAACCCTGTAAAGGAGTGTCAAGCTTCCTCGTTAATAATCCACAGCTAAACCTTCAGCTGAGTAAACCCATGGCAGGGTGAAAAAGAAGAGAGCTGTAGAGCTTGAAGGGAGAAAAAGAGAGAGCACATTAAAGTTTCATGATGGTTTTCTCTCCAGATACAGACCAGAGAAGGGAGAATGGAGGGAAAACTCCAAAGTTGAGAGGAGAGAGAGGGAAAAGAAAAGGAGTGAGAAAGGTGTAAACTTTTCTCCCAAGATTCTTCCACCCCACACACATCTCACACAGCCCACGCAGCTGTCACATCACCATTGGGCTAATCTATTATTCATAATGTGGACAGGACAGAACAAGACGGGGGAACTACCAAACCTTCCTGACCTGAGAGAAAGAGAAGTATAGGCTATTATCCATTTCAACCTGGTTCTCTAACCCTGGTCTGCACATAATGGCTTAGAAAAAGTGTATGAGAAATAATGCAAGAACAGATTCATACTCAAAATTCAGCCATGGCTATGCACAAATTGTCTTAAACTTACAGAAAACAACTGTGAAAAACCTTCAAGAGCTCAAACAAGCAAACTTCATCTCAAATTGGACTGGACTACTACTAGAGTCTGCACTGACATAACTTAAAAAACTATTGATTGTATTCTTCAGCAAAACACCCAGCCAGTGCAGAAGATTTCAGCCACGTCTATGATCTCCAGAAAGGTTGTAGTATCACTTGTGATTACTGGGAATTCATGTCAGATATATCCTTTTACACAATTTTTGAAAGACCCAAGAAATGATCCTGAAGCATGTTCTCTGGTCGGTGTAAGGATACAAAGGGAAGATACCAACACGGTTTCTCCCGCTAGTACAGTTGTTCAGCAGGCAAATACAAATGATTCAAGACTGATAAACATACACAGAGACCTGTGAAGATACAGATTTGCTTAAAACCACACAGCTTTAACTGCGCTCCGACACTTCTGCTACACATTCATATATTAGCACTGTTAATTCATGAACATCTGTACTTCCTAACGGTTTCTTCGTTCTAATTCAAATTAACTGGTTGGGCAGACAAACCGGCAAATGAGACAATGCTGTAATCATTTCTCACATTAGTGAAAAATGAGCATTTTTGTCATCTAGTCAAAAGACAAAAAAAAAAGCTCTTTTCACAAAGAGTAAAAAAATTATAAGGTACATTATGTAAAAAGGTACTAAATGGGCAATAACAGTTCATTATGGACATCTACAAAACGACTGCAACGATAATATAATCATGAGTTATGTAAATCTTACCGACCAAACTTTTGAACAGTAGTGTACATCAATTAATAAATCTAATTAATCATATATATGATTTGTTTACTGCGGAAAGCCTATAAATTAAGATAAAGAAACCACATTATTATGGCAGATTAGTAAATTATTACATAGACATTACAAAAAGAGGCTTTAGAAGACAACTAATTATTTATTTCCATATCACTGATCACAACTCGATCAGCGATATGGAACATCCACAGCAATCCATTTTGCAATGTTTTTGTGTATGTAAACACACACAAGACAGACATCTTTGATTGCGGTGACACATCTTACTGTTTATTTCCAGTATCTCACACCATGAGCGCCATTTTATTATAGCTTTCCAGATGTGCAGAAACACACAATATAGTAACAACTATGACACATAACACAAGTGTACGGAGCTATTACGCAAATATCTGTTATACCTGATAACTAGAGTTTGGATCCACATTATCCACTATAAAAATAAATAAATAAACAAATTCATGCACTGCCAGACCTCCTCTGAGTTGCTTTTATGCTGTATCGTCATTCACCATGCCTACTTTGAGGTCTAAGGTGATGCTCCATTATTAAAGTTCCCAAACTAGCTAAAATATTAAAGCTGACAATTCAAGCAGTCTCGAAGAGCCCAGACAAAAAGAGAGGAAACAGATTTTGCAAAAACATCAGAGTGTTGAAGCAAAAAGCAAAAAATATATAACTGGCAAGAAAAAAGGCCATGAGACTAGGTTAGAGTTAAGAGCATCACCATATGAGGAAGCCCATGTGAGACTGTGTGTGCGTGAGTGTGTATCTGCACACACTTTAAAGTACTGTAAGGTAAAAAGTAAATCATATCTCTGAGGATTGTTGCTGGATAAAGAAAGGAAGCATGTGCGCTGCGAGTTCTCTCAGATACACAGGAGCAAAGATACAGAGACGAGAAAAAGAACCACGTTATAAATATTTATACAGAGACAAACGCGAGAACTTCCTTTTTGGCACAGGGACGGCGTGCCAGAAAGAAAGAGAGAGGCAGGACAGCGGAGAATCAATAGCGGGAAAGAAGATGAGACACACGAGCGGGAGTCGTAATCTTACTGGTGTCTCCTGCACCCCGCTGACTAACCTCCATCCATCCATCCATCCAGATCTCCTGCTTTCTATTCCCTCTCCTGAAACAACACCAGTCATCCTTCTGATTCTCTTTATTATGGAGCCATTCTCATCTTTTTGGACACGTGTACAGAGCAGTTATAAATAAAAAAAAGTATCATGACAATGACCTTTACATGCTTCTAATGGTCTATAAGATAAACATCTTAAACCTCCATATTCTCCTTGTGATAAAAGGACTTTAGAGGCTTTTGCATTCAAAAGTATTTTATCAAAGGCTGTTTATTCAAAAATATATATTTTCAGTATTTCTGATATCACCCATGTTTAAAGTTCTCTGTGCTTTATTGCCTGTAGAGATATGAAATAATAAAAAATTAAAATAACAATATATAAAAATAATCTATATTTAAAAAAAAAGCTTCTGAGTTTATGAACTCAAGAGTTTATAAATTAGGCACGTTTATGAACAATTTTGTTGACATGCAAATATATCTACTGTAGCTGACATCACAAAGCTATGAATGTTCAGAATGAGCTGTTTTACATCTGAGTTACAATAAATAGTCTTTTTGGACAGGTACTTTTTTTTCATAGTACATAAACTAGGCTTCTGCAGATCATTCACAGATCTACACACATCCTACATATCTTGCATGTTCATTTATTTTGGCTAATCTGAATATGCTTTTTTGCTAAGAATAAGACTGCAGCTCTCTCAGCTCTATTAAATATATTTTATCATATTTAAAGCCACAAAATCAGTGCAGAAAATGCTTTAAAAAGTATGCAGATTTAGTCAGAGATCCCATAAAAGTATTGTGTAAAATTTTTGATCTGATTTTAATTTAAGTCGCTGACAAAAGGTTCTTAAAGAAGAGAAAAAAAATCTCACCAAGCCAGTCGTTAAACTTCTTGACTTCGCTGGGCAGGCCGAGCTCTGTGAAGTCTCCAGCGTGCAGTAAGACGTCACCGTACGGCATCTGAATAGTGTCAGTGCGCGAGTGTGTGTCGGAGATACAGACAAACCGCGTGTAGCCCGGGGGCTTGGGGGTGTCGTGGGGTAACGGATCTACCCTGTGGAAAGACAGAGGAAAAGAGAGAGAGGTGTGGGAATACATAAGGTTATATATCGATCTCTCACGGCTTCACGATTGTATTTGCAGAAACGGGTCTCTGAGGGACATAGCAGAGTTTTGAATAAGAATGGCCCACTTTAGAACATCTCTTACTGGGTCGACCACACAGACTCTATCGACAACACACACGCAGACATTTATACACATTTGCAAATGTATAGCTGTGACCTGTTTTCCTTTGTAAATTAGCATGAATAAAAATAACTAGGAGAAACAATGAAACATGGCCCATTAGGTGGAAAAAATCCACTCATGGACAACAGCATGTTGAAAACCACATATTTTCAAAAGCAATTAGCTAGTTGGTTTCCTGAACGATTGGTCAAGTCAGGTCACTTTTATTTATACAGCACTTTACGCAATACAAATGCAAAAGAAATGATGCAAATTTCTTCAAATATGAGACCAATTCAAATTATGTTGTAAAGCTAGTCATTAGTCTCAGCTAGTCATTAGTCAAAAAATCTCTCTTCAAGAAGCCCACAATTATTAAAAATCTTTAGTTCACCTGAACTCAATTGGGCGATTTCATAGGGAGTCTTCGGTATTTTAAAAACGCAACGCTCATGACGTAAGATGCTTAAAAAACAGCATAATTTTTGATGCAGCATGTCCATCTAAATGTCCATGTCTGTAGCAACGGTGTTTTAAAGGTGTTGAACATCCCCATGAGAGAATTTTAACATGCTAACTGACAGCTAAAGCAAAGCATGCTGTCAGAAGGCAAATTAAAGTGCTGCTGCTAAAAATCTAAATTGAAAAAATGGACAAGACACTTTTTGGAAAACTAGTCGACCATAGTAACCCATACCAAATGTGAGTTTCTTACATATGGACATGGGGCGGCTGGAAGCGACCCTGGTTGATGTTGTAGAAGGTGAAGGCTTGAGTCGGGTTGGCGCTGTATTCGTCCACCTCTACAACTCCTCTTCCTCCTCTCTGAGACTGTTGCTGCTGTCGTCGGGCTGCCATGATTTCGGAAAGTGTGAAAGCCATGGCAACACACACACACTATCGCTTTCTCTCTCACACACGCGCACTTGTCCGCGGTGGTTAGTTAAAGGGTTTCCACTTTAGCTGGGCTCAGATGGTCTTGTGCAAGTCTTTGGGACTGTCCAGGACCGTATTCAGTGGTTGGCCCACCGTACAGCTCCGCTGCTGGGATAGTGAGCCTGCATGCTTCCCCTCAATCACAATACACCAGTGGCCACAATACACCTGAGGAAAAAAGGTATGAGATACAAGATAAAGGGAGATGTGAGCTGTGACAGCGGCATATTATCAAAACCCACAATCAGACGTGCGGTTGACGGCGGTATGTCCCACTCTCCTCTGTGTTAATGCCGAGATCTTACACAAAGCCATGGTAACCATTCTGTCATGATTTCCATTTCTAACAATAGAGTTCCCTGCACTTTCAAGATGGCAGAAAAAAAGATGCGACACAACAGAGACAATTGTCTGGGGGAAAAAAAAAGAGGACACAAAAGCCCTCTGAAAGAAAGGGGAGCAAAAAATTATTTTGAACTGAAATAACAAGGAGGGAATAAGCTGAAAGCTTTCTACTCCATTCCTTGAGAGATACACGAATGCTCAAACCATTTAGAAACACCTAAAAAATCGTGAGATATGTAGAATGGAAGGTATAACAATTCATAAAAGATGGATGATGACCAAGCAAACCAAGTAAAACTATGTGGGACAAAAGCTTTGAATAATAGTGCATAAAATGGTCAAATGAAAACTAAACAAAAATATAATAATTTACTCTTTCAAAAAAGTAATGCGGTGGTACCACACCACAGTAAACATATACCATGGGACTGAATGATTATCATACTAATATAACATATTTAACAATATATTTTGCATTGTACTTAAAGTAACTAAAGAATACTACATGCCACATGTCAAAAACATGATTCTCATGGTATCATGTACAAAAATTTAAACCAACATACTTGTAGGAATTTCTGTAAGTGTAACATGGTTCACAAAAAGAGCCTAAATTAACTAACAGTTACCAGTTTAATAATAATTTGCTTTTCACTGAGTCTAATTTTACAACGTGTCCTTTGCCAGATAAACATTGTAAGCCATTAGATAACAAGAAATAAAACCGACACAGAATGTCAATGCTAAAAATCAATCACGCACGTTTAACAAGCGTTCAGGGATTGATTGTATCTATGGCAACCGTATCCGCTTTCCAAACAGACGAGCATCGTTTATAAAAGCGCACTCTTATATATATATTCATTCATATTCAAAAGTATGCGGTGCTGATTTACATACCAGAAATATACTTACCTATTCAAACTCAAGCGTCTGACGCCGATACGCTTTCGGAGACGCGCTGGTAAAGACGCCTAATAAATAAACGGGAAGAGAGTGAAAACGCAGCGGCTCCGGTTCGCAGAGGCTCCCGCTGGTTTGTTTGAACTGAAGTCTCGTGGTGCCCCGGTATGTGTGTGTCTCCCGGTCGGAGACACTCCCCCTTGGCGCTGCTCTGGATCTTTCTCTCCTCCTCTTGCGAATCCTACCATGGCCAAGAGCTTTCAGTCTTGTAACATCATCGCTGTTGTTGATAGAACCGGTTTTGTTGCTCACAGAAAAGTAAACCAAATAATTTGCGCCATTCGCGACGTATTATATAATATTATATTCGATAATAATCGATATTAATTTCACCAAATCAATGTTACCATGTTGTTTGCTACTTTTGTACACATTTAAAAATACGTTTGGACGTTTTATATCGTTGTATGCACCTCAAACGCCGGCTGAAGCACTCAAACACTAATGTTTCCTCAGAAGAACCACCAATCAGTTAGGCGTCTACTGGATAAACGTCACGTACGTAATTAATATTCATGAGACACGCCTTTCCCGTAGTAGGATTAGTAAATTTCCTAGTATTTGAGTCAGAGAGGATGTCTTGATATTTTATATATCTGCCATCTATATCAATATCTGTGCTGTCTAACCAAAGATGGAATTTTTGTCTGACCTTGACCTGCATGCAAGTAGCAGTAGCTTTTTAAAACTTAATCATAGATAAAGATATACTAAACGCATATCAGTCTTGACCTGTCTGGTAGTTATGAAAATATGAATATCAACCATTTTAGTTAACAAATTAGTTCAAATATTCCGAAAAAGCAAACAAAAACGAATCAATAAAAGTTCATTAGAAATTGCTTGCGAAATCTTGATGCACACTGCCCCTTTGTGGGGAGACAGCTTCATTATATTTTAGGATATATTAACATGACCACAAGAGGGCGACCAAGCATTCACAATGCCGTTAGGTTACATTTGGGTTATTTCCCCTAATTTTCCACTGATTTAGTTTTAACTCATTTAATAATTATTATAAGCAACAAATGCTTCAAATGAAACCCAAAAGGTCAGCACAACACACACACAGCATGAGATTTTGAATGATTTATTAATAAAGTGAGGTCTTAACAATAATTCCCAGTCTCTTCTACACATCTTCTGGGGTTGATTTCACACTGCTGAATTGTTCATTCTTTTGTAAAGCGGCCATTTATCATAATGGGAAGCATACTATCACTAGCCTGCCAGAACAGTCCTGTACATGTTAGACCGTCACCTTCCCCAGCATATTGTCTCCTTCTACTGTAAATATTAACTTAAAAAAAACTAACATTTGTACATAATTTACACATCTGTATTCATAAAGCTTACAAATCATGCCAGCAGCAGTCTTGAGTCACTCTCTCCATCTGAGGGGCAAAGTAGCTACTTATATCTGTGTGTGAAGCCATCGAGGGTGTGTGTATTAGTTGATTTTACATGTCAAACATTCGTTGTCTTCTTTTCTAATGGTAACAGTTCCTCAAACTGTCACATGCCTTTGTTTTAGTAATCAAATGAGACTACTAGAATTACTGTGCTAGCATAATAATACGGATTAGATAATGCATTTGTGTGTAATTAGGTAATGCATGAAGGTATGTTTATTTATGCTCAATGCAAGAGTGAATGTGTTTCCCTGTCCATATGTGGATATTAGAAATACAAGCATGAATAAGTGCTCATATACCAAAGCAGCTTTAGAATGATCAGTCAGTACCTCCCTCCCAAACTGGAATATATGCAAAACTACACAGAATACTGTAAAATTACAGTTAATACTATCTGTATTTCTGTGACTTTATGGCACATTTAGATGTTTGTTGTTAGATTTTTTTTTTTGCCTTTTTTTGCACTCTTATAAAGTCAATAGACTTGCAAAAAGATCACTAAATCAGTTTACACAAAATGGGCTAATTATATTAAATAAAACTGTACCCGAACTACATATAGACACTCTATCATTTTTTTTTTGTCTTCCTACAAGCGCATTCTGCTGATTTGTGAGGGGAAATGATCTGATGTATTTTTTTCTTTTTTGCCAGTCAACATTCACATACTTCAGGTATGTCATCTGCTTAACAAACAGCCTCTGACTTTCATCCACAGTTCAACAAGAAGAGCAAAATATGTCTCTTTGTGCACAGCACAAAGGTGATATGTTATGTAATATATGTGTTATAACTATGTAATAGACCATAAGACTCTTAATCCAAATGGAATTTTTTGTTGTTCTGAATCAAAACGCATCCATTTCCATGAGTTTATGACACAACCAGCTCAAATAAAAATCTGACTTGCCAAAAATCACCATATTTACAATTTCTCCAAATGCTCCATGCACGATAACAACCAGATTAATGACAAACCCATTGCATCATGTGAAATTAAAACACATGATATAAGCAAACCCAGTGAAACATTATGGTACTTCAACACTTTTTTATATTAAACTGCAAAAAACCTTATTATGAGATGATTATTATGAAATCTGTTTCTGTTGAGAGGGATAGGCGAGAATATCTTTCTGTATCCTGTAGAGGGGAAGTTTGGACATTTCATGTTTCTACACCCAAAGTAAAACATCTCTATACAACGAAAACTTTAAAGGAAAAAGTAACTTAGATTCCTTATTCTCTACAATATAAAATTCAAGTGCAATTGAAGCTCCAGATACTAGTTAAACAACGTACACGTAACTCTAACTCTCATACCGACAGGTAGTCTTTGCCTTTTATCTTGTTTTTCTTTTTCTTTCATTTGTCTGCCTTTGTCTTTTATGTTGTGGTCAGAGCAGAAAGTGATTCCTTTCTCATACAGTTTGAAAAGAAAACTTTAAGTGCACTAGGATATTAAAACCCCTTGTGCACATTAGGGGCATGAAAATAACTTTTTCAAAACAAGAATATATATCTGTTTGCGTCTGTATGTGTCCTAATATGCCATAAGTTTGCACATCATTTTTTTTTACGTGCACACACACATATATACATACATCCATATACAAATATATACTGTAGATATCAAACATCCAAAGGGGGCTTTTGCAAAATCAAGCACATAAATATTAGCAAACAAAAAAACAAACAAAGACAAAAAGGGACAAATCTTAGACAGGAAGAAGGCCAAACGTCTTTATCTTCTTGCAGTAGTGAAGCCTTCTGGGAGCTAGTGGAGAAAAGAGAGGAAGAGAGATGGGGATAGAGCCGGGGTCGTGGAAGAAATGTTCGGGGTTTCTATTTATACGGCCGTAGAAACCTGGACACTTTGGAGCGTAGCAGTTTGATAAAGGATCGTGGGAACATCTCCTTTGATTCCTGCACGGTGTATTTAAAGTAGTTATGAGGGTGAGCCAGCACATCAAACAGAGCTTTAATCAGCTTCTTATCCTGAAAACACAGAAACAGAGAATTAAAAGTGGTAGATGAAGTCACGTTTGACTACAGTTACTTGCTGTAGTGAAAATATATGCTCACTTTTAATATCTCCTGGTGGTTTTCTGAGGCATAAAGTCGACCGTCTCGAACAATGTCCTCTATGAGTTGCTGGTAGTCTTCTGTAATGACAAACACATATTGCTTTCAACAACAAAAACTGATATATCTAGTATGTATTATTCTTTATCTTTTTTTATTTTTTATTTATTTATTTATGATGTATGTATGCATGTATTACAATTTACAGTTTTTACATATTTTCAAATCTATTTTCTAATAATAATGTACCATATACCAATTTTGACAATATTTATGTAAAAATCTGTATTTAATCAAAAATATTGTGAAACATTATTACAATTTAAAATAACACTTTCTATCTGAATATATTTTAAAATAATTAAAAATTTATTTATTTTAAAATTATTCATTACAAATATTCATTTATTTATCCTGTGATGGTAAAGCTGAATTTTCAACATCATTACTCCAGTCTTCAGAAATCATTCTAATGTGCTGATTTGCTGCTCAATAAACAGTTCTGATCATCATCATTGTTGAAACTGTTGCGCTGCTTAATATTTTTGTGGACATCATGATACTTTTTAATCCCCCAGGAATCTTTAGAAATCTTTTGTAACATTATAAATGTCTTTAATGTCACAATTTAATGCATACTTACTGAATAAAAAATCTGACCCCAAACTTTTGAATGGTTGATTAATTATAAACACTGACTAAATCTACTGTACCATTCACTTCTAATGGGAACCTGACTGTATGTGAATGTGGGTGCATAAATGTATATGGTTGTGTTCGGACTTTATCTTACCATCATAAGTGACATATGGAACCTGAAATCCCTTTCCACTGTTTCCCTCATTAGATATGAACTGGATCCACAGCTTGCGTGAACGGGAGGTGAAGGCGATTGGTCGCTCATAAGTTTGGCATGTCTCATAAGTTGTAATGGAAGTGGGCTGGGCTAAAAAAAAAAAAAGAGGGGAGGAGCTCAATAACTTGGTTTCTTGCTGCAATAATTAACCAGCATCCAAAACGACAGGTATACCATACCACTCTTCCTCATGACAAGAACATCCCCACACTCGTCCTCAATTGGGAGGAAGATTTCTGGTACAACAATAAGGATGCGCCTCTTGTTCGGAGGGTTAATGGTCCAGACGCAGTTCACATTAGACGGATAGTCGCCAGGATAGTTGGGAGATTCGATGTAGCCCATGAAATCTCCCAGCTCACCACCACATAGCTGATCTGCACGGGATAAAACAGACAGACCCTTGAATTCACTGCTTATTATGTGATCTGTGAGTGGATTTGCAAGAATCTGACTTACTTTTGCAGTGAGATACATTGTTAGCGCCGTCAAAATCTGTAGTGGTGTTTCCAGGGCAGGTGATGCAGTAGTTCTGTCCGGACTCAGACTGGTAGGTACCACCCGGACAACGGATGCACCGGTGTGTGGTGGCATTATAATAATGCCCGAGAGCACAGTGAACTGGAAATAAGGGGAAGAGAGAATGCAAATTATATAAGCACATAAGAAATGTGCACGCTTTGAAGTGTTATCCAGGAGTTGCAGTGTTTCCCAGCATACCTTTGGCTTCACAGTCTCTAAAGGATGTGCTGCCCGTGTGTTTAGTCATGAGTCCTCCCCCACAAGGGAAACACAACACACGGCCCGGCTCAGGCTGGAAGGTTCCCAGCGGGCAAGGCTGACACGGATGGAAACCATCAGCAGAGAACTGACCGGCAGGACACTGGCCTACAACCAGAGAATGAATTAAGTCACATTTTAAACATTTAATAAATAAAAACAGAACTTGCACACTACGGTTTAAAAGTTTGGGGTTGGTAAAATTTGCGGTTGAGTAAAATGCAGTAAAACATATTGTGTTATATTACACTACCACTGTATAGAAATGCACAACCTGAACATTTAACTAAATAACTAT